CTTAAACCTAATACCATGTGGTAGGTTTCGAATGATTTGAGATGCATTTATGTAAGTATTCACTTACAATAAGTTGTTAGTGTTCTTGCAATAAGTTGAGCATGGTTTTAGCTTAGTTTTTGCTTCACTTGAAATGTACGCAACGCTTCGTCTTTATTTGTTGTAATGAGAGGACATATAGAAAGTTGTCGAAAATTGGTTTGGCCCATAAGTATGCTGTTTTACTGTACTTACGAGTTGTTTTTGCACAAAGCAACAATGTTTTGTAAATAGCATATACAAATAATATATTTCATTATTCGTATCTTTCATAACTCTGTATAACCGAAAGTGTGCGCGCGTTAAAAGAAGAATGAAAATATTAAAAAAAGGACTGTTTAAATTTTACACAGACAGATTTTTCTTAATTATCAAATAAGTGGATTACCATCAATGCAAGCAGACTTAGTTTTTGTAGAACAAATAAAAAGAAGAACATTACGTTGGTTACTTCACAAAATTCTTTTATAGCTCCATACATGTCATAGCGTCTCTACCCCACGTTTTACGTGGTTCGAGTCCGGTTCTGCTCTGTCGCCAAGTCGATTTAAATAGTTATTTATAATATTGTGCAATTTGCTTCTCCAGAAACTTCTTTGATAATCTTATTTTTAAGACATCATAGTATTATAAAAGTAATAAATTAGAAAACGCAACAAATGAGTCGATTCCAACTTTTTTTTAATTTATTTAGAAGGAATTGAAGAAACTATCTTATTGCCCCATCCCGTTTTTGCTACGAATGTTAAGTAAAAAGGTCTCAAATACTTAGGTGTTTCATCATTTTATAAAATTTCAATGTACCTTATATTCGATTTATTAAACTTCATTCATAAATAAAGGTAGATGATATTTTATCCAAGGATAGGTACATAACAAACTTCAAGGTTGTCAGTTGTCACTGTTTAGAAAGTTGTCTTTTGTTTTAGATTCAGGATTCTCAATCAAAAATTGATATATAGTTTTATGTACCTACATAATAATTTTGCTGACACTCTTAGTGTGAGGGATTATCACTATGGAGCCAGAGTTCCGAGTACTAGGAGTACATAAAAGCCAGAAACTTCGCCCCGAAATCCCAAGAAAGGGATCTGGCTAGTGCATACGCCGCCTTAAATGAGATAATGACCCCAACGGCCCTTAAAGGTCTTTAAAAAAATTAATATGAGTCTTTTATTAATATTTCTTATCGTCAAGTTCTTCGCCTATAAAGGCGAAAGGCTCCATATAAGGCCCCACATCACACCATACATAGATATGCTGCGGCAACTTGAATCAGGTCCCCCGCTTTAAAACAGCTGCTGCACCCATTAATGAGGGGCCAGGCGAGCGAAGGTTTTGCGCAAGTTCCAACGGCTATCAAGAATATGTCCAAGATATCTCATGTTGGACTTAATCTCGATCAGATATCACTGATAACAATATGGAAACCTCTTAACAGCGTCCTTTTAAGTCTATGAAAACAAATGGTATCTGACTTGCTTAGCGCTACATCTTGTCCCAACATTTGTATTCTGCCAACAACCTGTGCCATCGACATAGTGGCAAGACGGGTAGCCACCTCATATGTGTGACTCCGAGTGATGACCAAAGTGTCGTCTGTGTACAAATTATACCAGTACCCAAGTGGAGATCACCTCGCAGTACACAGTCGTATCCGATTTTCCAAAGGACCGGACCTAGGACCGAACCCTGTGGAACTCCGCACAACATCTCTCTCCTTAGCAGACGGTTTTCCCGCTCAGATTACAAAATATATCTTTCGGAGAGGTAGTCCCGACAATCCGACTACGATACTTTATGAAACCTTAGTGCCTTCTTTACACACATCCAGGGCAAGGAATTAAAAGCGTTGGCGATGTCACTGTCAACATTACTCCGCCAACATTACACCGCCCATTAGCACCGTCTCATCCGAGTTGGTCTTACTTAACACACTTAATCACGTAAATCGTTGAACAAACTGCTGGTCTGTCTCTACTTGGCCGAGATGTTTGATGAGGCGTAGAATAAACTAATAACTATATGATACGTAGGTATATCGATATTAAAACATAAATGTTAATGGAGCAGTGTCTATCTACGCAGGTAAGATTAAAATGTAAACAATAATATTTGTTATGTTTTTCTAACTGTAAACATTGAAGGATCCTGTACCAGGAAATAACTGCGAATAAGTATGTGACAAACGGTCCCTTTTTTTAAATACCAAGACGATGTTCTTTTCACCAAATTTTACTGCATCTTTTTGAATTCTAGGCACCATGAACCACTATAGATATATGAGCATGTCTATGAAACTGTATAAATCGTCGTTGGAACTACACAGGAGTATAGTATGTAGAGGGTATAATAATTACCCAAGGACCAGCCTCATCATTCGTTGTCATGTCTAAGGGAAATTAGAATGGCTCTCTACAAACTTACAAAGCGGTTAGGCGCTAGGTGAGGATAGTACACTTGGGTGCAAATAAATCTAGTCACTTCCTTTTTTATCTATCTCTATAAATAAAATGATAGAGCTTTTAATTTTCAACCGACTTCAAAAAAGGAGGAGGTTCTCAATTCGACTATATTTTTTCATGTGTGTTATTTCAATACTTTTTTTCTAGGTGAACCGATTTTGACGATTCTTTTTTATTTGAAAGCTGATACTTCTCATGTAGTCTCATATAAATTTTATCAAGATCTGATCAGTAGTTTTTGAGTAATCCCTAATAATGCGTATTTTTACGTGGTAGAGCCATGGCTCTATCAGTATGGTGAAGCTATATTCTTACGTGGTAGAGCCATGCCGAAGCTATATTAGTAGTATAGTTTTAGTACGAATGGATCGACTTAATTGGGGAATGACCACGATTTCACAGAATACCAGCGTAAAATAGCAACTCAACGCTGCCGTGTTTCGTATGGTGAGTGTAGAGAACCGGAGACCCATTTTACTGGAAACGAGTCATTCCATCTTAGTCCTCACGGTGACAACGCATCTGCATTTTTATCCGTAATCGAGGATACTTCGACTAGATTGATGATGTTCTCTTTTTATTTATATTGAAGTCGGTTACACAATTTTTATTTTTATTTTATCACTTGTATCTATCAGCTCTGCTATTATTTTCATACCTGAGTTTGTACTCAGAACTGATCTGACTAAACTGATCTATATAACATATAATATATATACATATACACATATTTACCAACGAGTTTGTTTGATTATTAGTTTGTGCGAGATGCCTTAACATGTTACTGTTCTTTATAATTGTTTAAGCTTTACCTCCATCTATAGTTTAGTTTTTCTGTATGTTCGTAATGGATTACTCCTTTACTTTTTGTTTGTTAATTGTTTAATTCCTCGTAAGCAATTTATAATATTTTGAGAAATAGTGACCTGAGTAGTGTCTTCTCATCGGGTAGGGTGTTAAAAAACTAAACAAAAATATAAATTAACACTTTATAATATTATCAGGAAGATGCTGTCGCCCATCGTCCATAATCACTATGTTGTGCAGGAAGATTGCTAGGTAGGTAATGCTGTTGTTCATCACTATAGTCTGTGGGATTTGTGTTTTGGATAGGTTTCTTACCATCAGTCTGTTGTCAAAGCCTCATCTATAAAGCAGCAGGGTAACCATGTACACAAGAGGTCGGCGTAAGGAAATAAAAGTTGTAGTATCCCACCTTGACCTTGATCAGTTTGTATGTAGGTATGAATGTTTCTCTTCACTACATTTTATTTATATCTGGTGTCCCTGAAAACATTTTGCTTTAAAGAAAAACTCAGAGATTTTGACTGCATCTAAAACATGTCATGTTTGCATGCATGTCACTTAAGCCGTTTCCTTTGCAACCTAGAGAAAGGTCTTACTCACCAGGATTTTGACAATTTGAAATTTCGATGACATATCTAAAGTAAATTTTAAAGAAAATCTTAAAGAAAGATATTGTAATAATGGGTTTGTCTGATGCATTATAACTTTATTCTGTGATCATTTATTAATTGGTGCTTAAATTGAACACCTTCGTTCAGTTACGTCTTGTATGGTGATTGATGCACTTAACCTTTGCCAAGTTCAAAAACTTTACTAAACAAAGATTGTATAAAAAGAAATATATAATATTAAGGAATTTATAGATGACAATTACCGAAGAAATGAGGTGATCAATGCAAAAAAATCTAATATGTTTTGTGTTGTCAATTGTGTAACGTATTGAAAGATTGCAAACTGTTCTTTTTTTTAAAGGTCCCGCTGGGATCTTGCTTGTTCTTCCCAGGACCAAGCTACTTTTCGTAGCCAGTAACTGAAATTGTAGTGATTGAATAATTTTGTAAAACCTTAAAAAAGATCACTTTGCATCAAGCCACATTTATTTTTGGAAATATTAAATTATACATATCTTCTTTTTACGCATCATAAATTAAAACCGATCTTGGTAGTTTCGCGTATAAATTTTAACCGGTTTTTTATAGTTTTTTTAAAAATCGTAAACTCTAACGTCAAATTAATATCTCATCTATCCACAATTTATCCTCCTTGATAATTATTTGACATAAGCTCCATACATTTTATGTCAAATTTCTATCTCTAGCAGGATAATTCGTGGATAGATAGGATATAAATTTTTGCCGTAAATTGCTCTCCTATTCCTAAACCTCTAAAAATGTCACGTAAAGCATGTTTTTACCTGTCACCCGTTGATATTATGCTCTGCATGAAACCGAAAAAAAATAAAAATAACTAATAAAAAATAATAGCAAAATATTGATACATATACCAATTTAGTGCCGGTTGTGGAGTTGTAAAATGAAAGCTAGGTATTAGTATCTATTACATATTTATAACGAATAAACTGTTATTACCACATAGAGAATATCTCTATTATTATCTAAGTATTTTAGAACTTAATTTTAAAAGCAATGAAATAATTTTTGAAACAATTTAAAATGACATTTTTGAGTTCTACTTTGAAATTTTGTCAGCCGTATCTTCTAGGCGTTCGATTGCTTCAAAAACCCATTTATAATTCATGGCACCGAAACCTCTGTAATTTCTTCTCTGTATTATTTCAATAAAGAGCGTCGGACGGGTTTGGACATGTTTAGTAAAGGCCTGCAGCAAATATCCACGCTCATCAAAATCTATGAGGACGTCGTGCTCCTTAAGCATTTCAATACTCTCTGTTACATTCACACTGCTGCTTTTCAACTTTTCATTTATAAGATCGTAGTAGGTTGAGGGCCATGACAGAATTTCAGCACCTCGTACTTTCAAATTTCGAATGGTGGTGATTATGTCGTCAGTATATAGGGCAATGTGTTCAACCCCTGAGGCACCCAACGCCTTTACGAATTCAGTCGCCTTGCTCGTCGGACGTAAGCCTTTAGCGGCTTCGTTCAGCGACAAAAGTACAGTCTCGCTCTGATTAATGATAGAAGATGAATTGATGCACGAGTACGGGACAAGGTCGTGTTCGTAATCAACACACCAAAATTTGTGCATGTTTAGGTTCTTCTCGTACCACGTCACGGTGTCTTCGAGCGTGCCGTCCGCCATGTTGCCCTCTACATGGTCGATGAACGTTAAATATGTGTCAGGTAGTAGTTTGTTTAAAGGATCGTCTTCTATGACATTATATCCGGGTAGTAGTACTCCGTTATACTTCGTTCGATCTATCAATGTATGGGTATTGTCACCATAGGTTTTGAGTATAACATACCTTACAAGTCCATCATTGTCGCTGTCTTCTGTTATGTCCTTAATAATCTCAGCACCTTCCCGCTTTGCTCTTCGCACCAATTCGTCGAGATCGTTTACAGCAAATGCTACATCTTTAACGAAGTCACCATGAGCACTCAAATCTTTAGTGATTTCACCATCTGGAGTGGTAGGAGATTCGAATATTATTGTTATCTGAAAAATAAATTTCAACAAATGTAATATTACATTAAAACAAATGAAGACACAAATACAGTTTTTAACGCTTCGTTTCATACACATTTGCGAAGTTGGATTTTTTTAGTACCCACAAATTTGGTGCACTTTATATTAAGTTCGTCACTTTAATCATTACCTTATTAAGTTTGACAGCGTGGGCTTGCACCGGATTACTTTCGGTTGCATCTTTTATTGCGAGCGGCTTGAAACCGAAACGGGTGACGAAATAACTTGACGCCTGAAATAGTTTTTGTCATTACTGATACGGAATTCAATCAGTCAATAAATGCTTGCAAACCGGCGCATTCTTGGTCTACTCACTATCACTTCACAGTGGAGATAAATGAACTGAAAATTAACTAGAAGACATAGGACCTGGACTTATTTGCAGTAGATTAGTATTGTATATTTTTTAGTTGGCTGCAAGTGTTCATGGACCGCAACAGCCACTTTCCATCACATGTACTGTAAGTTCGTTTGTCACTTCAGTTTAATAAAAAAAAGTTATATCTCCCCTTTCTTTAACAATGCATGCATCACTCCACCACTATCACATATTATAAGTGACGCTATTTCCTATAAAATTTTAGGAATGACGAATTAGTAGTCCACCTGATGGTAAGAGGCTACTGCTGCCCAAACAACTTCAAACAAATATTTCCATAGATGCATGGGCTGTATTGTTGGAGTGGACTTGTGCTTTGTACAAATTTAACTGCCGTTTGGGATTCGTAACCAAGACCCTCCGGAGTAATAGCCAAATGCTATTCACACTGACATTTGGAGAGAATGTACCATTCCATTCTAACCAGGTGATCTAATTACAGTAATTATAATAGTAATAGGTAATTAGAATAGTAATTTATTACCGTTTTTGCGTTTGCCACCCAGAAAGTGAGATGGTCAAAATCCAGAACTCTGCCATTTGAAGAGTTTTCTCCTTTTGTCATTTTTATCTAAAATAATTATTAATATATAATTTTTATAAAAGTACAATTTTTTTTTATAGGATAGCGTGACAAACGAGCACACAGTCCACCTGATGGTAAGTAGTTGCTGTGACCCATAGACATCCATATCTATCCTCAATAAAGAATCATAATGCAGATGCGTTGTCACCCGTGAGGAGTAAGATGGAATGCCACTTTCCCAAAAAAAAGTTCTCTACACTCACCATACGAAACACAGCAGTGTTAAGCTGCTATTTTACGCTGGTGTTCTGTCAGAGCGTGGTCCTTCCCCGGTCGACCTACCCATTCGTGCTACAACTATACTACTAATATAGCTGTAGCATGGCTCTACCACGTAAAACATGTAACAAAAACCTTGTGGTTCCCAATAAGTACATTATCAGAATATTGATTAAAATGTACCGAAATAACTTTACTTCCGAAAACTCAACCATGAAAAGTTAAAATAAAATAAAATTGGATGTGGTTTTATTACCACTGCATTGGCCGGGGAGTACCTAACAGTATTGTCAAATATCAATACAAGTCAGTCAGTTATGAGGCAATTAAACTACATACAATTAGCAAATAAAATTTTAATTTTTTTTTATGATCGAGTTTTCTGAAGTAAAGTTATTTATATAAGTTTGAATAGTGATTCTGATAACGCACTTCACGGCAACCACAGGGTTTTCATGTACACATGTTGTATATAAGCTATGGCGTATGTGAAGTTACAGTTATTTGAATACAACCGTTACATTAATTTCTAAGAGGGGATATTTGCCATAGTTGCCACGCTTGGCGAGCGGGTTAGCAACCGATTTTTTTTTTATTTTAAGTTGTTATATGAAGACGCTGCTGCCTACCTCCTGATTTGTTTTCCTCTGTCGCCTCACACCCACGGGATGATATGGGGTAGTGGATATTCTTACACCGCCACTGCACGGTTGTGGACGGTAATAAACATTCATTAAAATATAATTATAAGTTCAATAATCAATATATAATTACTTACTTATTGAACACAATACTTTAAAAATACAATTCCAACACTTCAGTGGTTAACTTGTTCTACTTAATTATAACTTCCCTTTAAGAGGACTTTAGTTGAAATGTGCAATATCGATGAGGCTAACTTATTTATAAGAACGGGTTATCTTTCTAATAGATCTATGTTTATAAAAATATGTTTTAATATCGTATTAAAATTAAAATTACGACACATGTTTACGAAAATTATTAGACTTATTACCATAAATACTAAGGTTGCATTTGATAATTGATTTAAATAATGAATAGTGAATACCATACTTAAGTGTTATGATTCTTTTGATTGTGTCAATCATATAGTTCTTAAATTTTTCGACTATTGATTGTAAAATAACTATGAGATTACCTAACAAGAAACATGAAATATAAAAGCGCCCAAGTGCGAGTCGGACACGCCCATGAAGGATTCCGTAGCAGCAAGTAACATAATTGCCGTGTAGAGGCGGTCAAGAATATCCACTACCCCATATCCTCCCGTGGGTGTCGTAAAAGGCGACAAAGGGAAACAGGCAGGAGATGGGCAGCAGCATCTTCTTGATAACAACAAACTAACAATAAAAAAAAACTGCGGTTGCCAACCCGCTCGCCAAGCGTGGCAACTATGGCAAATACCCCCCTATGAATGACAGTAACAAAGAAACGGCCCCCAGTCCCCGGCGGCCCCGCTATTCCTGGCTACGGTGGCGACCATGGTAACGGCGGGGCAGGGGGTGCTAAGAATCTCCGGTGGAGGTTCGGTTGCCACCTTAGACGACGCGACCTGGCAACGTACAACGCACGCACCCTGAGGACTGACGAGAAGATCGTGGAGCTGGAAGAAGAGATGGACAAGTTGCGCTGGCATATTATAGGATTATCCGAAGTCCGAAGAGAGGGGGAGGACACGGTAATCCTCGAATCCGGCAACTTGCTCTATCACCGGGAGGGCGACCATCTGTCCCAAGGAGGTGTCGGATTTATCGTCCACAAGTCTCTCGTTAACAACGTTGTAAAGATCGGGAGTGTGTCGACGAGGGTTGCGTACCTTATACTCAGAATCACCAAACGGTATTCGCTGAAGGTCATACAGGTTTACGCACCAACCTCGGCACACCCCGATGAGGAGGTGGAGGAAATGTATGAGGACATCTCTAGAGCCATGCATTCCTCCAAAACCCAATATACGGTGTTAATGGGAGACTTTAATGCAAAACTAGGCACAAGAGAGAACGGTGAGCTGAAAGTAGGGAAATTTGGAATAGGGCAACGGAACCCAAGGGGCCAGCAGCTGGCCGACTTCATGGAGAAAGAGGGACTCTTTATGATGAACTCTTTCTTCCAGAAGCGGCCCCACAGGAAGTGGACCTGGTCGAGCCCCGACGGTTCGACAAAAAATGAGATTGACTTCATTATGACGACCAGACGACAACTGTTCAGAGTGATGTCTCCGTGATCGCGAGGGTGAAAACTGGTAGCGATCACCGAATGGTTAGAGGCACACTGAACCTAAACGTTAAGTTGGAGAGGTCTCGTCTAATGAAGTCAACGCTCCCTCCCCCTCGTGCTCTAATCCAAAGTCCCGAAACCTTTCAGCTCGAGTTACAAAACCGTTTTCAGTGCCTAGAAGACTGCAATGAAGTGGACGATATGAATGACAAGCTCGTGGAAACTGTCCATGCGGTCGGAGCTAAGTTCTGCAAGACCCGCCGCAGAAGAACACAAAAACTCTCCGATCACACTCTTAATCTCATGGCTGTTAGACGGGAGATGAAGCTACATTCTTCAACAGACTTCACAGCATACAGGCATCTGAACAGACAGATCTCCAAATGCATGCGGCGGGACTTACGCAACTTCAATACAGCTCGTATTGAAGAAGCGATCGAGCGGAACCAAGGCTCCAAAGTCTTTGCCAGAGATCTGTCTGCCAGAAAGAGCCAACTGTCAAAGCTGAAGACAGAATGTGGCAGCATCGTTTCCGGGACACCTGAGATTTTGAGTGAGATTGAGAGGTTCTATGGGCAGTTGTACACGTCATCGTTGGAGCCACACGCAAGTGTGAGTAACGATCCAAGAGCAAGTCTCATCCGACACTATTCCGAAGATATCCCGGACGTCAGTCTGAGCGAGATTAGAATAGCTCTCCAGCACCTTAAAAACGGTAAGGCCCCAGGCGAGGATGGAATTACAGCGGAGCTTCTGAAAGCGGGTGGAAAACCGGTACTTGAAGTCCTTCAGAGGCTCTTTAATTCCGTCCTCCATGGTGGCATTACACCGGAGGCGTGGAGCAGAAGTGCGGTGGTCTTGTTCTTCAAGAAAGGTGACAACGCTCTCTTGAAGAACTACAGACCGATTTCCCTTCTGAGCCGCGTCTACGTGCTGTTTTCGAGAGTCATTACGAATCGTCTTGCGCGCAGACTTGACGACTTCCAGCCTCCCGAACAAGCCGGTTTCCGAAAGGGCTTTAGCACCATAGACCACATACATACCCTTCGGCAAATTGTACAGAAGTCCGAAGAGTACAATTTGCCACTATGTCTGGCGTATGTGGATTATGAGAAAGCCTTTGATTCCGTCGAAATTTGGGCGGTGCAGCAGTCCCTTCAGCGATGCCAAGTTGACTGTCGGTATATCGAAGTGTTGAAGTGCTTGTACAGTAGGGCTACGATGACTATCCGAGTACAGAACCAGAGTACGAAACCTATCCAATTGCAGAGAGGTGTAAGACAGGGTGACGTCATATCCCCGAAACTCTTCACCGCGGCATTGGAAGACGTTTTCAAGCTTCTGGACTGGAAAGGATACGGTATCAACATCAATGGCGTTCCAGGCTGGGACAATATCCCCAATGACTTCTTAAAATTGGCAGTCAATGACTTGGCTCCTATTATTTCACATTTAACTAATCTATGTTTCGATACAGGAATATTCCCTGCACCATTAAAGCAGTCTATTATTACGCCTGTGCACAAGGGCGGGGACAGAAATGACATTAATAATTATAGACCAATTTCCGTTCTACCAGCAATATCTAAAATTCTAGAAAAGTTACTTAATATTAGATTACTCAACTACTTAAATAAATTTGATATATTAGCACCCACACAGTTTGGCTTCAGACAAGGAAGATCGACAGAAGATGCAATTCTTGAATTAAGCGCATTTGTAACAGAACAACTCGACCACAGTAAAAAATGTTTGTCAGTTTTCCTTGATCTGAAGAAAGCATTCGATACCATCTCTGTCCCTATGCTTGTGCACAAGCTTGAAAAAGTTGGAATAAGAGGGACCCCGCTTGCTCTTTTCGAAAGCTACCTGTCAGAGAGAAAACAAAAGGTAAAGCTTCCTGGGTTCACTAGTGAGGATGCGGGAGTCTCATCATATGGCGTACCACAGGGTAGCGTTCTGGGACCAACCTTATTTTTAATTTATATCAACGACCTATGCAGTATGACCATACCAAATGCTAAAATCCTGTCGTACGCCGATGACACGGCTGTGGTTTTTGCTGGTGAATCTTGGGAGGTTGTCAAGACTAGTGCTGAATGTGGTCTAGCTAGAATCGCTCTGTGGTTGCAACAAAATCTTCTCACTCTAAATACAGCTAAGACAAATTTTATTTGCTTTAGCATTACTAACAACTCGCAACCACAGACTGACTTTTGCCTTAAAATTCATGCATGTAATGAGGATGCTAAAAACAAAGCTTGTGACTGCCCATCAATTGAAAAAGTCTCTCACACTAAATATCTCGGCGTCATTGTAGATCAGAGGCTATCGTGGTACCCACACCTGGAACATGTCATCAGTAGAACTCGAAAATTGATTTGGATATTCAAAACCCTAAGACACGTAATACCAGATAATACTAAACAGTCGGACTCTCCCAGATATCTCCTAAACCAAATATACATATCCCTTGCACAATCTATCATAACTTATTGCATTCCGGTGTGGGGTGGAGCTAC